TACACTAATCAACTTAATAATATTGAGCACTCTCAAATGATTTAATAGCTCCTGGTATCAACAAGCACATATATGAACTAAATACACTAATAGATAGAGCACAATTTTAGGAACCTAACAAAATTTGTTTCATAATGTTTGGATATCTACATTATTTTATATTAATTACCAAAGTTCAGCTCAGAATTAAAATGAAAATCTATTTCTATTTTCCACAAAAAGGTAAAACGATTTCGGTCCAACGTGGCCCATGCGAGGTGCGGCCCAGGCGAGGAGGTGGCCCATGGCGGGGAGCCCGCGCGCGCACTGGCATTCTTGCAAAAACACCCTCGCGTTATCAGACAATAGAGCGAACACTACACGTACTATTTCTATAGGCAACGACTTTGCAATGGAGCCCTCGTATCTTTTCACCTTCGCACCGAAGAGGTCCTCGAGATGCCCCGCGCTCGCTGCGTGCTGCGAGCGGTGGCACTAGGCGGTACGTCGACCACCTAGGACCTTTGTAGACCTAGCTAGGAGACCACCGCTCACCTATGGGCCGACGCGCGATGATGGGCGGTGGTTGCACGAATGGGGGTGAAGTAGAGCGGGCTCTCCCTGGCGGTGGCGACCTGCAGTGGTGGCAACCGCGTTCCGGTGAGCCACAGTATACAACAAATAATAGAGGTGGTGGGTAAGCATCAGTGATGCACCATGATCCTACCCGTGGCGGTGGCCTAGCTGGAGACGCCCTGAGTAAGTCTGGCCACGTGCGCTCGGCGAGCTCGACGGCGAACCACAGCGACACGGCCATGCCGGTGGCATGGAGGCGGCTATAGGGCTATGACTTGGGTGCGCACGACAAAGAGGGGTTCTAGGCGAGTCTAGTGGTGTAGTCAATTCGACGTGAGATGGTGAGGTTGGAGCTGGCTATGGCGAGGCAGGCTGGGCCTTAATGGCGCGGCAGTGGGAGCAAAGCTCCAAAAATTGGAGCTCTGCTGAGCCATAATCAAGTCAGGATGGGGGCGGTTGGCAAGAGGATGTAAAGGCAAAAATGTGGGCATGAGGAATTGATGAGATGTGCTCACTCTCTGGCTCACCGTGACCGCGACTCGACGACGACGGAAAACAAAGGGAGAAAGAGAGAGAGACAGGGCGCGGTAGTGGGCTCGCTGAGGCAAGCCTTGGCGGGACGTGGTTGACACGACCGAGGGACCTATGTCCAAGCATGAGGGGATGAGCACGAGCGTCCATGACCGGCCATGGACCGCGCGCCATAGCGCCATTAATGGCGTGACGACGGCGTGCACGGCCACATGCGGACGACACCCAACCGGGCCAGGGAGGGGGTAGCGCGATGCAGCGAGCAGACATGAGTGCGGGAGTGACACGATAGCAATGACAGCGCTACGACCGTGACCACGATTGCGTCATGACATGCAACATGGAGGACAGCAGCAGCATCAGCGGCAGCCACGGTGGCAGTGGTGGTCGGGCGCAGAGAGGGCCAGCGGGGCACGGCGGCCTATGGCTGGCTGCAAGAGGTGCGGCCAGACCAAGGGCAGCCTCGATCGGCCGGTGTACAGCCATGCACGCGCATGCATGGCACAGCTACGCGGCGATGCAGAACGGCCACGCGTGGTGACGACATGTCCGAACCCGGCGGCCAGAGACTGATTACGCGCACGAATTTTAAAGCGCTGATCATGACCAAACCATTGCTCCTAAACCTAAACCGGCTTCACTACACTCAAGATGGCACATGAGACTACCAAATTGAGCTATAACACTACACCACTCCTTAACCCAATCTCTCACAATAAATTGCTAAACCTAGCAATGTCTAGTGTTGACAGACTTGGAAATTTCTAAGTTTTTGAGGTGGATCTGCTTTCCGAGTTCCATTTCTAGACTATTAGAAATACTCGCTAGTAACATTATTTTTCTATAGCAAGTATTTTATTGTCATCTATAAAGTTTGTACTTCAAACCTTATTTAAGTATCACATACATGTTCTATAGCATTTTTGCTTAATAAAAATTGATTTTAAACCCTACTTGATGTGCATGAACTATTGAATCAACTTTCGTTTCACATTTTAGTTGATCATTTTGAGTTACATGAATTGATCTACACACTTTATCACATGCATTAACACATAAACATGATGCTTATGACATGTTTTAGTAGATGATTTACTGTGTAACACCGAGGGTGTTACACGCGGGCCTAGGCGTTCCTCGCTCCAGCAAGTTGGACTTCTCCACCTACGACGACAAAGATCCCTGAATTGGCTCAACCACTATGAGTAGTTTTTCCGTGGTAAGCGCATGCTCGCCTCGGACCATGTCTAGCTCGCTTCCAACCACCATGTCTACGCTACCTAGACATGATACTATGCCCTAGAGCAAGACAAAGGCATGCCATCGTGGGAGAGGTTGAAGGAGCTCTGCCATCTTTAGTTCGGCCTAGCCATCCGCACCAACCGCCTCGCTAAACTAGCATGGCCGCCCTCCCTCTCCATGGTAAAGGAGTAGCAAGGGCGCTTCAACAAGCTATTGTGCCACATGCCAAACTTGTCACGGGCTCAGAAGGCCGATCTGTTCATCAGTGGCCTTCCAGAGCACACATCCGGATCGACGTCGAGCTTTGCGATCCACGCGACCTCCGGACAACAATGCACCTCACACGGGCGTATGAGCACCATGTCGAGGTGACCCCGCCAGCACCTACACAGTGCCCAGCTCGGCCTTCTCAGCTCTTGGCCTTGGCGCTACCCCCTCCGCCGCGTGTGGCCACTGGCGCCACAGGCGCACCAGCAGCACCCGCCCATGCGCTATGGCATGGAATCTGCTACAACTATGATGAGTAGTACATCGAGGACACATGTGCCATCGGTTGTTCTTCCTTGATGTCACTGACTACCTAGACAACGATGCTATCGATGACACCGGCGTTGTGGTGGCCGACTAGGAGGCAGACGAGGAGGAGGCATTCAATGCACCGGTCGTATCCCTCCACGCTATAACCAACATCCACACAGAGGACGCCATGCACCTCCTAGTCTACATCCATGGCCACCGATTCTTGGCGCTCCTAGACACCAGCTCGACACACAACCTAAGTACATAATAATATAAATGCTGAAGCTTAAATGAGATACAACTGTTAATGACTCCAGACTTTTTACCAAGGTATCAAGAAGCTCATGCTTTTCCTAGTCCTCGTTGTAGCCTCTCGCAAGGATGCCCTTGCAAGGGCCAAGTTCTCGATTGGGTAACTCCTTGGATAGCCCTGGGCCTTTCCTAAGCATAAGTGTGTCTCTAAGATGGCCTCTCCTAGACCGCTCTCGACCAGCTCACTATCGACCATCTCACTATCAAGGCTTCCGACCAAAACACCATGGGTCTCATTCCCTCAAGTACACCGGTGGCTGCCACACAAAAAATGCCGTTGGTGCGATCTCCCAAGACTACAAGCCCCTTCGAGTATAACAATATAATGGTACGTGCAAACACCGAATGAGCAAGATGTACCCAAACCTCACTAACACTAGGCATAAACCTAAAGCAAGCACTTTTCGCGGTGGTCTAACTAGTCTAAACACTTTGCAAAAACACCTACACTAATCACCGAGTGATTTCACTAAGCACTATGGTGGCAAGAGCACAAAAGTGGAGCCTCAACTTCCTTGGTATGTTTCAGAACTCCTACATTCCTTAAATGGCCAGCCAAGGGGGAATTTATAGCCCCCAACACCAAAACTAACTATTTGGCAATGTGCAACTCATTCTATGCAGATATCGAAAAATTTGATCCCCTCATCGAAAATTCAATGACTGCCATGCAAACAAGCCATTCGAATTTGACCATTGGTCAGCCAACCGTTGTGTATCGGAAATTCCAATCAACTCATTGGAAATTTTGATGTACTGTTTTTAGCCCACAAATTGTTATATTTTGGGCATAACTTTTAACTCTGAACTCTGATTTTTATGATCTTAGACTTTTAGAAAGCTAATGAAGAGTTTTACATCTTTAAACTGATATCATATAAATTGAGTAGATCTAGAATCATGAGACAACACCATTTCATCCACCTCTTTGTCTCAGCTACAATTTCGTTTGAGTCTTCGCGTCCGGGCTTCTACTTCTTGGTGTCTTAGACTTCTAGCATGTCTTGTAGGTCTTCAAAATAGCTTCTAATGACTTGCTTGAGGTGTTGATCACTTTGATCTCCATGTCTCTTAAGTCAAAGCCATTGTATACTAGCAAACATTGTTAGTTCAAATGGTCATGTTGTTATCAAACATCAAAATCATGTAATGGCCCATGATGGGTGCCATTTTCCTTACACCCACAACACTTGCAGAATTACCTACTTGACCTTGGGGTAGTTTATCGGCATGCCATACGGAAAATCTATGATCTTAGGAGCATATGACACCGGTATAGGGTCACTAGGTAAAACAAGCGTATGACCGATAAGGTTCTTAAGATCAGCATTATGTTTCATGGTAAACAACCTATCTATCAATTTTTATTCATGTTGTGTTATTGATTCATGCACTTGTTCAAAGGTAATTAGAGAAGATGGATCACTGATAAGTGGTTGAAGGACCAACTAGGTTGACTACTTTGAATTGCTTGGCCACATTACCTACTTGTCGATCATCCATCGAGCAGTTTGCTAGAGCGGCTTGTAGGTTAACAACATTCTTCTCCTCCACTAGCTTGAGGAGTTCCTCTGGGAGTTCATCAATCGTTGTAGGTGGGATGATGTTAGCATGATTGAACGGATCCCTGGGTTCACTCTCCATCTTGTTGTTTTCTTATGCTGATAGTAGATTGATCTTTTTTTTTCCACAGCGGAGTCACCAAAAAGTTACCCGCGCTTGCTTACATAAGTTACCCACGCTCGCTTCTTGTTATTTGGTTGGATCCGTGCAATCACAAGTGCAAAATTTTGTTTTTCTCCGGTGGTTGCATTGCCGGTCGGCCGTTACCAGCATCGGCTATGGCGTCGTCGACTCTGCGCTCCGAGACAGAAGCAGAAACAGGGATCGACGTGCTACCTATCGACGCGATCTATGAGATCCTGATCCGCCTTCTGGCCGAGGAGCTCTACCGCCTCCGTGTCGTCTGTCAGCCGTGGGGATCCCTCCTCTCTGACCCGCAGTTCATCGCCCCTCATGCCACTCGTCACCGACGGCCGCTCTTCGTCGCAGGCCACGGCAAATCATATCGTGATGATGGCATCCTTTGCCACATCATAGACCTCTCTGGCAGGGTCATCAAGCAGATCCGCTCCAAAAAAAGACGAGTGGCTGATATCCACCCAGTGCAACGTCGCCTGCGTTGCAAAAGGGACCCCCAAGCGCTGCCAGTTGCTCAACCTAGTCACCGGAGAGAGATTTCCAGTGCCTAGAGGTTGTCCCCAGAACACACGCCGTGGAAGCTCGACTTCTCGAACTCGAACTATAAGGTTTCTGTTGCATTCGGGCATGTTGCCTCGACGGGGGAGTTCAAGCTGCTTCGTGTGATTGATAATGCCTTTGACAAAATCCCCAGTGAACAGCTATGTGAGGTCTTCACACACGGTGGCAGCAGGGTTGCTCGGTGGAGAGGAAGAAGGCTGCTCAGGATCGTGTTCATATGAGCCCTCTGAGCACAGTGGCTATTGATGGAGTTGTGTATTTTCTCTTGGACGAGTATGTGAGCACCCAAGATGTTCGACCAAAAGGCATTGCATCCTTTGACATTCTGACAGAAGAGTGGAGGGCAGTTTCGAGGACCTGTATCCATCCTTGCTAAAATTACATATGGCAACAATCTTTCTCTGGCTGCCCTTAATGGATTCTTAGTTCTGGTCCATTGTAGGCCATATGTTTCAATGGACCTGTGGTTTCTGATGGACTTTGAAAAGGGCTTGTGGGTCAGACAACATACTGTAGAAATCAGATTGGGTGTCCATAATGCATACTTTACACATCCTTTGGCGATACTGAAGAATGGGAGGATAGTTATTTATATTGGATCTAGAGGATTACTGAGGATTTATAATCCAAGGACCAAAACTTATGCAGATATGGCAGAGACAGGGTCCTGTGCTGCAATTGGTTTGTACATGGAAAGCCTATTGAGCTTAGCAAATGATCCATTTAATGAGGTGAGTATTGCAATTGCCTGCTCTTTTAATATATCCAGTTGATGCAGATATCTTTGTCTGGATACATTGACAAAGAACTGGTGGGGTTCTATATTGCTATTTGTACTTCAATCTGTGGTTTTGACTTAAAAAAAAACCATTTAAGCAACACTATGTATGATGTAGTAAAAAAATGAGTAATGCTAGATGACTTGAGAATTTGAAGCCAGGAGAGTGACCGAATAACAATTGGCCAATGTGAGAACCAAATGTTTGACAAACCCATAGAAATGTTGCCATGCTTGTGGATTCAGTTGACTTCTTTCAGTGTGAAAGAAAGATCCTGACATGAATACCATTATTTATCATATTTTTTTATCGGATATGATTACGTATCTGAATATTCTCGGACATTAATATAAAATTGATAGTTTGGATATAGATTTGCATTCGGATATATATTTAACTTTTTTATATGTAGACATCATTCCCATAATTTGAGAGAAACAAAATCATGTGATGAGATATCGAAATATAATAAAAATACTTAATTCTATACAGATAGATAAAACACAATAAGTCATACTAATTACCATATTAATTGTTAATCAATAATCATAGTAACTATATTAGTTATAAATCAATAATCATATTAATTATATAGAATATAAATCAATAATCACTTGAATTATGTGTGCATCATTAGTATTTAAAATAAACAACAGGCTACTAATTACTCATAGAAAACTTTAAATAGTTTCAACATTATTTTAGTGGAATGCAAATTATTTAAAACAACATTATATATCATAGGTCATATTAACTAAAATTAGTATAATTAGCCATATTAAATTGATTTCATTAGTTATATAAAAATCAATTAAAGCTTTGTTTATATATCCTTATTGATATTAGAAATAATGTAACACCCTAAAATTTGTCTTTTCTAAAATAAAGTTAAATTGACTTTAATACTTGTTTTTGTGCTAATGAAATATAGGAAAAATAATATTTTTCATTATATTAAAATTCATCATAAGGAGTAGCAACATGGTTGTGCATACATGCTGGTGCATTTGATTTATTGCTTGAGTGGTTTGAATCAAGATTCAAAATGGTTTGAATTGCTTTTGGAAATAAATTAAAAATGGCTTTGAAGTAAAAGAAAAGAAAGAAAAAGAGAATTGGAAAATAAAAGAGATTTCAAAAGTTTGCAAAAGTTCAGTTTTGGGAACCTCTCAAAAGTTCTCATCTTGAAAAGTATATTTGAAACTATATTTGGATTTGATTTGGGTCATAATTGAATTTGGTTTTGAAAATAGAATAGAAAAGGATTTGGAAAATGGAAAACCTCTCTCCTCTCAATCTGGCCCGTGGCCCAGCCGGCCTGCTCTCTCACCCCGCGGCCCGCTTCTCTTTTTCCCCTTCTCCGTGAAGCCTAGCTTGTCGGCCCAGCTCCTCCTTTTCCCTGCGCGGCCTGCTCCACCCTGAGGCCCAGCATCCTTCCAGGCCGTCCGCGTGGAGCACCTCCCTCGCTCTCCCTTGCTGCCATCCCGACCCCGCCTCTTGAGTCGCTGATGAACTAGGCCCGCTTGTCAGCCATGTCTCCTATCTCCCGCTCGTGCTCGAGCCAGACACCGCCGCTAGTGAGTCCGCATCTGCGCCACCTCCTCCCTTGCCTTGCGCCCTACGCTGCCCGACCCTTAAATAGCGAGCCTCCGCACCCGTGCCGTCTCCCACCAAGCCCTAGAACAAGCCGCAGCGCCGCCTGTGCCCTAGCGCCACCATCCGAGCTCGCCGAGAAGAAGCCAACGCCGCCGAGCCAATTAGCCCCTCCTCCGTCATGGTAAGAGTATTTTCGAGCTTCGAGTGGACTACTCGAACCCACATAGCCCCTTAACTCCCTCTATCTCTCTCTATTTTGGTCTCCCCGTGTCGCCGCCGCTCCGCCATCGCCATTGCTCGCCGCTAGCCATCTTTGCTCGATCTTAGCCGTCGTAGATGGCCATTTTGAGTCCACCGTGTTTCCCTCTAGCTCCTAGTACAAAACCCAAGCCTAATTGAGGCTGTAACCCCTTTTCCCCAATTTCTCCGGCAAGAAATTGACTTCGCCGGCCAAATCGCCACCGCTCCTTCCCTGTTTTGGCCGGCAGCAGCATCTCTCCCCTTCTCTGTTTAATCTTGACTATCCAATTCTGATCCAATGGCCAATATAGCCCGGTACCCCTTCGCCGGTTTCTTTTACAAAAGATACACTAAACTTTTTAAGATTTGAACCCACTGTCCCTGGTTTCTTTCAAAAGGACCCCTACCTTTTCTTTAAATAGTGCCCGTAGTCGTCGGACAGATTTAAGAATCAGATTTTATTTGTTTTAATTCAAAAATCAAGTTCCATCTATTTACAAAATTGCCACTACCTTCAATAGGCCATATCTTCTCCGTTTTAACTCCTATTTGATCCGTTCAAGTTACGTTAGATTCATAACGACGTAATCTACGTATTAGTGGTATTGTTTAACATGTTTAAAGCTTTTGACTAAAATAGTAATTTGATTAATCTATATTAGTTTTTCAATTAAAAGCAATTAGGGATTTTCACCGTAGTCTTTTTGTAAATAAAAGAAGATTAATCTTATGTTGGTTTTCTAATACAAATATAATTTGACTTAATTCAATTTAGATATTTTTCTAAAGTATCTGAAATATGTTTTATAATTAAGATAAATAAAGCATATAGTTTCTTATCGAAGTAAATCTATCGGTAGATGCATCTTTTTCACCGTAGCTCTGATTAGCGTGCTTTTCGCGTCTGTGTGATCGTAGTAACACGTAGATTTGATTTCAAATTCTTTTTCACTGATTGGTGTATTGTTCTAATATAGTTATGTTTGAATGCTATGCATATTTGTTCGGATGCTTGTGTGATGCTTAATGATCTTGTCCAGTCGGTGAGGTATACGTGATGAATCAAGAAGCAGATCTTTAAAGATTCAGACTAGAAGAAGATCAGAGTTTTAAGGCAAGTATAGCATGGGATCATCCTTGATACCTACTCACTTTTAATCATTTAATTCATACTGCATGTGTCTACCTTGACTAACACTAACGATTTCCTAGTACTTTGTACCTTGTTCCTTAATCCCTATGGGTTATTACATTGGGTAGTATGATGCTAGTGCTCAACTACAAACATGATCTTGTAACTTGACTAATGGTATATGCAACAAACATTAAAAGATGCTTTTTAGCAACATAGAATCAGGGGGCTAGAGCATTGGGCTGTTTTAAAGGTGCTCTAGAATCATCTCCCTAAGAACTTATCTGTAAACGAACATCCGGAACTTACAGTACAACTGTGAGGGCTACATGTCTCTGGCTTTAGCTCAGTATGAGAACCTTTTCTAGCTTGTTACTGGTTACCTTTATTGACGTAAGAATAGCTTGACGAATCGGATATAGTGCGGCCTCTGTCTCCTTGTGTATAGGCTGCGCGTCATTGTGCCATTGGGAAGGGGGCTCTACATTTGTTTGCCGAGTGAATCTAATAGTCCTAACTTGTTAGATGAACCTTTAAAAGGCTTCATAGTGAATCCTACCGACCTTCCTTGGAAGTGGGTCAAGAGATTAGCTACCTCGGACGAAAGGGTAAATCACGACTCGCAGTGAAAGTGTACAATCTCTGTAGAGTGTAAAACTGGTATATCAGCCGTACTCACGATCATGAGCGGCCTTGGACCCTTACGGAATAGATGATAAACACTAATGATACGGATGATGAAGATGCTCATTAATGATTATTGTTTATGCTATTCATTATTCATGTTTACCTGATCATGTGTTTATATGGGCTTGTGAATAAACTTGTTGCCACCCAATTGCTAAAAGATGACTCTTTAAAAGCTAATCGCAGTTAAATCAGTATCAGCCTTTTGAGCCTCATGAACCCCATGTTATATTTGTTGAGTACGACATGTTCTTACGCTTGCTTTATTTTTTTAAAATCTTTAGAAAAATCCCGGATGGGTACCAGATTGCTAGAGTTTGGAGGAATTATGCTTGTGATCAAACAGTCAGTTGTCCATGTGGAATTGGAGTCTTCACCCGAAGATCGGAGTTGTCTTTCCGCTGTTTACTGTTATGGGATATTTTCAAATACAGATTTAAAATTGGATAGAGAAGAAATAAAATAAAATGGATTTAGATTATTGTAGCAAATTTTGTCATGAACAGGACTAGGAAATTTGTTGCTGTTGTGGGGAATTAATTAGATTGTATGGAAC